TCAGACACCTGGTGTTTCTAACTATTCCTTCCTTCCTGCAGAACTCTTTCTGGGCTTGGTGACACATCCTCTTGGTTTCCTGCTTCACTCTCTGAAGAAACTACCTTTATACCCTGGGGTAGCTAATCCCCCGAAAACTGCCCCCACCTCCAACATGCCGTGTATTCATCAAAGTCCCAACACATTACCTCTTCCCTTCTCACTCTATAGACCCTCCCTAAGTGATTTCACCTTCTTCATTCCATATGTGGGTAACTCCAATATTGATATCCCCACTAACCAATCATGAGTGTCAGATCCATAAACATAACTCCTTCTAAGCAATTTCTCAAGTGTTTATAAGCACCTCATGTTCAAAATGTCAAAAATCAAACTCATCATTTCCCAAGCTCTCTTCCAAACCTGCTCTTTTTCCATTTGTTTCTATGTATTTACATATGTGTATACATATCCACATATATGTACACACGTGTGTACATCTGTGAATAAACACATAGGTATATAAATATGAGACACTGTTCTTCACCATACAAGGTGCCCTGGACACCTGCATGGCTTTTTGTTCCATAAAGGCTTATAACCCAGTGCACTCACCATCTTCCAGGTTGATTCTTTTTTCCCACTTCTGACCTCTCTTCTTTCTGTTTCACCTTTAATTAGGTAACCACTGGATGGATATATTTTTTCTAGTAAAATAACTTTTTGAGTTTTCTAATAAACTTTTTACTTTCTAATAAGATGCTGAAATTTAAATTCTAGTGACATATTATTTATCCAGGCTCCTAATATATTAGCTGACTTAATTTTTGAGAGTGATCTTGGTAAATTAATACTACCACTTATTTTAAAAAGAAATGGTTATGTTGTTAAGTTAACAACTGTCCTTATCTTGATTTCAAATTGGATTATTCCCCTCAGCATCATATACACACTGGAAGGCTGTACATAAGTGTTTAAAATAGTGCCTGGTACAGAGTAATTTTTATACATTGTCATCATTTTATTATTGCTATTGTTTGAATATTATTGATTTGGAGAAAACTGGGAAAGCAAGTAAAATCAATATATAAGCATATGATAAACATAGTTGTTTTCCAATGGTTCCTTTTGTATGGCAACTATTCAAAGAGATTCAAGAAAAATAATTTGGTTTTATATTTATCCTGTATTTCTCCTACTCTCATCTTGACACATTCTCTATTACTGCCTTTCATAAGAATTCTTTCAACACAGCTAGCTGAAAACACATGTAGATAAAAACAGTCTTCCCTGGTGGAACGGCAATAAAGAATCACCTGCCAATGCAGGAGACACAGGTTTGATCCCTGGCTTGGGAAGATACCCTGGAGAAGGAAGCAGCAACCCACTCCAGTATTCTTGCTGGGCAAAACCCTAGGGGCTGAGAAGCCTGGCAGACTACGGTTTGTGGGGTTGCAAAGTTGGATACAACTGAGCACACATGCACATAGATAGAAACTTTATTCTCAAAAACTAAATGAAGCAGCTTTGACCATTATTTTGGAATCCTGCTAGTTTTAAACTATTCCATAAACTTAGAGTACCTCTGAGTTCCCCTTCTGATTCCTGTTGCCCAGGATAAAGTTCAAGATGTCATAAAGTAACAAAACATTTAGTCTTCTGGCTTCCTTATCTTGCATTCATGAGGGAGTACACTACATGAGGTTAGCACTAAATAAAAATTCAGATTGAACAGCACTAATCCACATCTGGCACATTTTCATTAAAATCTATGTACCACTGGTCAAATCCTTTATAGACTAAAACTGGTAGAAAAATACCTTGGGTACAGTAACATGATTTTTGCAAATTACATATATATATATAATACATAAAATAAATTTCACTAGCAAGTTTCTGTTTGCTAATTTGTTTAAGAACATAAGCTCTGTGAGCTCAAGCAACAAATCTGTATTTTTGACCATTTTTTCTTGCCATGTAGGTGACAGGCAACAGGCATTCCATAAATATTAATAGATGAAGCATAGGCTGGAATCTTGCCAGGAGAAATAGCAATAACCTCAGATATGCAGATGACACACCCTTTTGGCAGAAAGTGAAGAGGAACTAAAGAGCCTCTTGATGAAAGTGAAAGAGGAGACTGAAAAAGTTGGCTTAAAACTCAACATTCAGAAAACTAAGATCATGGCATCTGGTCCCAACACTTCATGGCAAATAGACGGGGAAACAGTGGAAACAGTGACAGACTTTATTTTTGGGGGGCTCCAAGTGTTTCTCCAGTAGTCATGTATGGATTGAGAGTTGGGGCTCCAAGTGTTTCTCCAGTAGTCATGTATGGATGTGAGAGTTGGACTATAAAGAAAGCTGAGCGCCAAAGAATCGATGCTGTTGAACTGTGATGTTGGAGAAGACTCTTGAGAGTCCCTTGGACTGCAAGGAGATACATCCAGTCCATCCTAAAGGAAATCAGTCCTGAGTGTTCACTGGAAGGACTGATGCTGAAACTGCAATATTTTGGCCACCTGATGTGAAGAACTGACTCATTGGAAAAGACCCAGATGCTGGGAAGGATTGAAGGCGGGAGGAGAAGGGGATGACAGAGGATGACATAGTTGGATGGCACCACCGACTCAATGGACATGAGTTTGAGTAAACTCCAGGAATTGGTGATGGACAGGGAGGCCTGACGTGCTGAAGTCCATGGGGTCGCAAAGAGTTGGACATGACTGAGCCACTGAACTGAACTGAGAAATTGTTATTTGTGCTAGTCTTAATGCCATAACACTATCTACTCTCTTATTATTATTTCTGAACATGTATGGAACGTATTCTGAGAGAACAGTAAAACTATCATCTGGTAGCAAAATTAGAACCTAAAATATTATGAATCATTGTAAGTCCAGAAATAAAGAAGTAAAAGCATAAAGTTCTGATTACGTCTGTAAGTTAAAAATACATTCTGACATACGGTATCTAATCAGCAATACGTTCGCTGTCTAAAGCAGCTGGCATCTTCCTGTGAAGTTCAAGGAAAGACAGGTCCGGAGAGCGGCTCAGCCATTGTCGTTGTCGCTAGCACGGAAGGTCACTGGAGGGAAGGCCAGCTGAGCTTCGCTTTTGTGTCTGGGCTTCCCTGGTGGCTCAGGGGGTAAAGCGTCTGCCTGCAATGTGGGAGACCCGGGTTTGATCCCTGGGTTGGGAAGTTCCCCTGGAGAAGCAAACAGCAACCCACTCCAGTAGTCTAGTCTGGAAAATCCCACGGATGGAGGAGCCTGGTAGGCTACAGTCCAAGGGGTCGCAAAGAGTCAGACATGACTGAGTGACTTTACTTTTTATATTTATCGTTACAAATATTTATAGACACATACATATATTTACAAATACATATCTTGCACTCTTGAAGAGCTAAACATTCTACTTATGGGGTTTGAAAGCAAATGATAAGATGTAAAGAGAAAACAATTTGTTCAGGAGACTATGCCATCCTAGCTGTTGTGACCTGACTCTTTCTGCTCCTTCTCAGGGTCTTTTGCCAGATCATTCCTCCTCTAAAACTGAAGGCCCTGGGACCACCTCCTTCTCTCTTTTCTACCTACAGTCCTCCTCTAGGTGACTTTGATCTGTTCCTTGGTTAAATAAGTAAGTCAAAATGTATGCTGATGACTCTCAAATCTTCATCTCTGGCTGTAACCTCTCCACTTAATTCCAGGCTTGCATATCCACTTTGCTTTCAAATAGACATCTCCAAGTAATCATTTCCAAAACCAAATTCTTGATCTACTGCCCTAAATGTACTAATACCCCACCTCTACTCTCCATGTTATTTTATCTCAAAAAATAGCACCATAATTCACATAAAGGCTCAGGCCAAAAACTCTGGGATCATCTCTGACTGTCACAGTCACTGAATTCGTCAGCAGATTCACTGACCTCTGCCCACACAGTGTATCTTACCACCCAACACTATGTCATCAGGAATCACCTTTTGCCTGGCCTTTGCAGCAGCATCTTACCTGATGCTCAGACTTTCACTCGCGCCCTCTGAAAGCTATCCATCTAGAGTCAGAGTAGTCATTCAAAAACCTAAGTCAGATGATTGCATTTCCTGGCTCTCAAATCAAGGGGCGTCTCACCACGCTTAGAATAAAATTCAAGTCTTTACATACCATGGCCTGTAAGGCTCTACAGTCTGGCCCAGGGATATCTCTGTAATCATTTCTTCCCACTCTCACTCACTGAAATTTCCCTAGCCACAGGAGCTTTCTTCAGACCTTGAACATGCCAAACACAACGCACTCTTGGGGTCTTCAAAGTATCCTTGCTCTTGTGCCTTGTACATTCTATTCAGACTGCTGCATGTTTTTTGTTTTTTTTCCCTCCACTCGATACAGATCTCTGATCCAAGACAGCTTCTCTTACCACCCTATTGAAAACAGAATACCACTCTACCAGGTACACGCTCTTTACCTTATTTTTCTTCAAGCACTTAACACTGAGGGACAGAATACTATGCAAATTTTTTGCCTGCTTATATTGTATATTGTTTCCCCCACAAATGCAGATGCTTCATGAAGGCAAAGACTGTATCTGTTTTATTCACCACTATATCCCCAGTACCTATAACAGTACCATAGAGTAGATGCTTAATATTTATTGAAAAACTGAATAAATTCAAGAAATCAGGTTTTAGCTATACATGATTCAGGGTATTATTTATACCTATCATATATCTACACTGATAATATATTTACAAATGTCAAAGTGCTTCCAAAGGAAGCAAAGGAATCTAGGTCTGCAGAAAACTACAATAACTGATCCCACTGAGTTTCTCATAATATAAAAATAGGCAAGCTTCACTGGTCTGCTCCTTCTACTAAAGAGAATATATACATACACACACACAAGATTCAGAAAATTTTCAACAGTTTATAAAATAATGGGTTCTCCTCCAAGAGGATAACCAGAATATCCAACTCCATAGAGGCATTGAGATAAAGAACAAAAAGCAAAAATGCACTTACCTCCCTTTTTCTACCAAGAGCAAAACATCCAATTTTTCCCCATTTTGAACCACTGTGCTAATTGCTGGAGGGAAAGAAGAAAAGTATGAACATATTATTTTAAAGCATTACACTAAATACCTTTATCAACTACTTACTCACTGTTTAGAAGTGAGTCATCATAATTTTATGTGAAATCTACTATTTCCATATGCAGCAAAGAACTCTGTGCAGATATAATATAAGTGAAGTGAAGTGAACTCACTCAGTCATGTCTGACTCTTTGCGACCCCGTGGACCCACCAGGCTCCTCTGTCCGTGGGATTCTACAGGCAAGAATACCGGAGTAGGTCGCCATTTCCTTCTCCAGGGGATCTTCCCAACCCAGGGATCGAACCCAGGTCTCCTGCATTGCAGGCAGATGCTTTATCCTCTAAGCCACCAGGGAAGCCCGCAGATAGAAGGGGAGGGAGAGAAAAAAACTTACTTAGTTCTTGTAGTCTCCTTAAGTGCATTCTATCCTCTTGACCTTCTTGCATTTGAAGGCAAAAACGCAAATTAGATTTGTCCATTGCAAACCAGCCTTTTCTCCACTGATCCAGGGCGTGGCAGTCTTTGTAGTAGAGTTGACCAATCAAATCATAGTCAGCTTCTGTTAAGTTTTCAGCAACAAAGGGAACAAAATGCTGTTAAAACAAATACAAAAAAGTAATAAAGACAGTGAAAACAGGAAATCCCTTACATAGCTAAAGATATGAGGGAAAGGGGAAAAACTTGTTTTTCTGTAGATTTAGGAGTAATCCAGATTTCAAAACAATTATTTAAACTTGCCATCAGTCTTAAAACTGAAGAGCTATAAATATAATGCAATTTCAAATGGCAGCATCTTAAACCGTTTTTCTTGATATATACAGAATTGAAACAGGAAGACATTCTCTTTGTCAGTCTGTGAAATCTTTTAAAATGTCAACCTTCAATGTCTGTCTTCATTTGTATCTTTTACTGAATCTGTTCTTTTCCCATTTGTGTACACTATGAATAAGAAATCTACCTATAAAAAGACATACACAGAAATGACTTCACAATATTGAAAAGATCTCCACCATCAAGGTATGGCCTTAATTTTAAGAATGACCTCTCCAAAATCCTACATTAATTTCTTCTCTGCTTAAGGCTTCAGAAAGGTAACTCTTAACCTCATTTGACTATAACCTATGAAACCCTAATTAAGTATGAACATGCTTTCTGGAATCTTTAAAAAAAATTTTATGAACCTCCAAAAGGTAAAGAATCTTCTCTGGATTTAGGTAATAAAACAATATTTAAATAGCGTGGTCAGATGGAGAGAATAAATGGATACCAAGGGGGACAGGGGTGGTAGGAGGAATTAGAAGATGGAGACTGACAAATATGTACTACTGATACTATATATAAAATAACTAATGAGAACATATTGTGTGGCACCGGGAGTTCTACTTGCTAAACTGTTGTGACCTGAAGGGGATGTGCCAAAGGGACGGGATGTATGTATGTGCACAGATGATTCAGTCTGCTATGTAGCAGAAACTAACCCAACACTGTAAAGCAACTATGTGTGTGCACACGTGCTAAGTCACTTTAGTCGTGTCTGACTCTTTACGACCCCACGGACTATAGCCCGCCAGGCTCCTCTGTCCATGGGATTCTCCAGGCAAGAAGACTGGCGTAGGTTCTATGCCCTTCTCCAGGGGATCTTCCCAACCCAGGGATTGAAACCATGTCTCATGTCTTCTGCACTGGCAGGCGGGTTCTTTACCACTAGCACTGCCTGGGAAGCCCAAAGCAACTAGACTCCAATAAAAATTAACAAAAAAATAAATACCTTGGCTATTGCTTCTGTCCATTTTCTTTGCACTTGAGATGTTTCAGCTCCAAATAAAAATGCACGTTCTGAGGGTAAATAAATCTCAAAAGTAAAGATAGGCCTACAGGACATAAGAATAAAAAGGTGCTACTGGTTATGCGTGGCTTTAATGAGAAAAAAAATAACAAAAAGATCAAGTCTTTAAATAAATTCCTTTTGAACACTGAATAATAGCGTGAGATCTACCTACCATCTACCTATCATATTTTTCTGTTGCTGGTTTGTACTTTATCCAAATGAATTAAATGGAACACACTGGGCCAGACAAAAAGAATATTCTTCTGACAAACCACTCTACGTATGGCATGACTTTGCTGATGCCCTGATGCGGCAGGGGGCTCTCTTCTGTCTCTTCCGCCCTCTGAGATCACTCCTTGATTTACTCTGACCCTCTGTTCAAAGCAAACATTGTCCCAACAGTTCTCTAAATAGTTCTCTTCTCATCTTCACGAATTTTCCTTCCATCATCTCATCCTATGCCAAAATGTCACCTCCTTAGTATAGATAAAAATAGGGTAATATCACATAACTGAATTTTTCCTTCATTGCTCATCCATAGTCCAAGTATTTCTTGAACACACTAAGTATATATGCTCAGTTCAGTTGCTCAGTCGTGTCTGACTCTTTGTGACCCCATGGAGCGCAGCACACCAAGCCTCCCTGTCCATCACCAACTCCCGAAGTTCACCCAAACTCATGTCCATTGAGTCAGTGATGCCATCCAGCCATCTCATGCTCTGTCATCCCCTTCTCCTCCTGCCCTCAATCGCTCCCAGCATGAGGGTCCTTTCAAATGAGTCAGCTCTTTGCATCAGGTGGCCAATGTACTGGAGTTTCAGCTTCAACATCAGTCCTTCCAATGAACACCCAGGACTGATCTCCTTTAGGATGGACTGGTTGGATCTCCTTGTAGCCCAAGGGACTGTCAAGAGTCTTCTCCAACACCACAGTTCAAAAGCATCAATTCTACTGTGCTCAGCTTTCTTTATAGTCCAACTCTCACATCCATACATAACTACTGGAAAAAGCATAGCCTTGACTAAACGGACCCTTGTTGACAAAGTAATGTCTCTGCTTTTTAATATGCTATCTAGGTTGCTCAGAGCTTTCCTTCCAAGGAGTAAGTGTCTTTTAATTTCATGGCTGCAGTCACCATTTGCAGTGATTTTGGAGCCCCCCAAAATAAAGTTAGCCACTGTTTCCACTGTTTCCCCATCTATTTGCCATGAAGCAATGGGACTGGATGCCATGATCTTAGTTTTCTGAATTGTTGAGCTTTAAGCCAACTTTTTCACTCTCTTCTTTCACCTTCATCTAGAGTCTCTTTAGCTCTTCTTCACGTTCTGCCATAAGGGTGCTGTCATCTGCATATCTGAGATTATTGATACTTCTCCCAGCAATCTTGATTCCAGCTTATGCTTCTTCCAGCCCAGCATTTCTCATGATGTACTCTGCATATAGGTTAAATAAGCAGGGTGACAGTATACAGCCTTGACATACTCCTTTTCCTATTTGGAACCAGTCTGTTGTTCCATGTCCAGTTCTAACTGTGCTTCCTGACCTGCATACAGGTTTCTCGAGAGGCAGGTCAGGTGGTCTGGTATTCACATATCTTTCAGAATTTTCCAGTTTACTGTGATCCACACAGTCAAAGGTTTTGGCATAGTCAATAAAGCAGAAATAGATATTTTTCTGGAACTCTCTTGCATTTTGATGATCCAGCGGATGTTGACAATTTGATCTCTGGTTCCTCTGCCTTTTCTAAATCCAGCTTGAATATCTGGAAGTTCAGGGTTCATGTATTGCTGAAGCCTGGCTTACAGAATTTTAAGCATTACTTTATTAACATGTGAGATGAGTGCAATTGTGCAGTTGTTTGAGCATTCTTTGGCATTGCCTTTCTTTGGGACTGGAATGAAAACTGACCTTTTCCAGTCCTGTGGCCACTGCTGAGTTTTCCAAATTTGCTGGCATATTGACTGCAGTACTTTCACAGCATTATCTTTTAGGATTTGAAATAGCTCAACTGGAATTCCATCACCTCCACTAGCTTTGTTCGTAGTGATGCTTTCTAAGGCCCACTTGACTTCACATTCCAGAATGTCTGGCTCTAAGTGAGTGATCAAACCATTGTGATTATCTGGTTCGTGAAGATCGTTTTTGTGCAGTTCTTCTGTGTATTCTTGCCACCTCTTCTTAATATCTTCTGCTTCTATTAGGTCCACACCATTTCTTTATTGAGCCCATCTTTGCATGAAATACTCCCTTGGTATCTCTAATTTTCTTGAAGAGAGCTCTAGTCTTTCCCATTCTATTGTTTTCCTCTATTTCTTTGCATTGATTGCTGAGGAAGGTTTTCTTATCTCTCCTTGCTATTGTTTGGAACTCTGCATTCAAATGGGTATATCTTTCCTTTATCCTTTTCCTTTTAACTTCTCTTCTTTTCTCAGCTATTTGTAAGGAGTCCTCAGACAGCCATTTTGCTTTTTTTTGTTTCTTTTTCTTGGGGATGGTTTTGATCCCTGTCTCCTGTACAATGTCACAAACCTCTGTCCATAGTTCATCAAGCACTCTACCAGATCTAGTCCCTTAAATCTGTATCTCACTTCCACTGTATAGTCATAAGGGATTTGATTTAGGTCATACCTGAATGGTCTCGTGGTTTTCCCCACTTTCTTCAATTTAAGTCTTAATTTCTCAATAAGGAGCTCATGATCTGAGCCACAGTCAGCTCCCAGTCTTGTTTTTGCTGACTGCCTACAGCTTTTCCATCTTTGGCTGCCAAGAATATAACCAATCTGATTTTGCTGTTGACCATCTGGTGATGTTTTTATGTAGAGTCTTCTCTTGTGTTGTTGGAAGTAGTTGTTTGCTATGACCCGTGCGTTCGCTTGGGAAAACTCTATTTATTAGCCTTTGCCCTGCTTCATTCTGTACTCCAAGGCCAAATCTGCCTGTTACTCCAGGTGTTTCTTGACTTCCTACTTTTGCATTCCAGTCCCCTATAATGAAAAGGACATCTTTTTTGGGTGTTAGTTCTAAAAGGTCTTGTAGGTCTTCATAGAACCTTTCAACTTCAGCTTCTTCAGCATTACTGGTCGGGGCATAGACTTGGATTGCTGCCATTACCTAAAAACAAAAACTCAAAATACCCTATATTAAACTGATCATCCTTCTTTCTCCTTCTCACCCCACACCTCTTGCTATCTCCTTCACATTCCAGTTTACAGGCATCACCATCTGACTCATCAACAAGAGCAAAACCTTGGAATCTTAATTTATATTCCCTTTGAAGTCAGCATTTCATTCAGTCACACACTGAATGCTACCAGTTCAATATTAAGAGGCTCTCAACTCACTGTTTTTCTTTTTAATTATTTGCTCCTCTAGCTACACTCTTAATTATATCTTTCTTCTTCCAATCTCTTCTTTAATACTCCAGTCATCAGCTCTCTTCTGAAAATTCAATGTGTATGACTCCTCAGTTGCTCCGTTATCAATTTCAAATTCTGTAATATGCTATGGAAGGTGACTAAGAATCTGGCTTTGGTAATTATTTTTTAAACACATCTCATTATAAATGCTTTCATTTGCACATCTACTTGTATCAGTAACATTCTACCAAGAATGTTTTATTTTTGAATATGATTAAATGCTGACATAAAGTAATAGCAATTATTTGAATTGTTTAAACAATTTAATACATAGAGTACACTTAACATTCCATCAGTTCGGTTCAGGTCAGTTGCTCAGTCATGTCCGACTCTTTGTGACCCAATGGATTGCAGCATGCCAGGCGACCCAATGGATTGCAGCATGCCAGGCCTCCCTGTCCATCACTAACTCTGGGAGTTTACTCAAACTCATGTTCATTGAGTCAGTGATGCTATCTAACCATCTCATCCTCTGTTGTCCCCTTCTCCTCCCACCTTCAGTCTTTCCCAGCATCAGGGTCTTTTTTTTTTTTTTATGGTAAGCCACATTAAACTGTTTAATCATTTAGAATAAAAGCACTATTACGATTAAAGTAATAAATCAACACATAACCAGCTTTGTTCACAAAACGTTAGATTTACTAGAAAACAATAGTCATTCAACTATCATGTACTGGTTGTTATGTGATAATAGTAAAATGTTTCAGTATTTCATATAATGACATAATAAATGACATAGCTTTAAAAATCTCTTCCCTTTCTCATATAAAACTTTTTATTAAAATACTATGCTCTTTTATCAGTTTTATAACTGATTTTTGCACATTTTAATATTTTTATTTTTTTAAAAATTACATTACAAAATGTGATAAGAAACTTTCATACCAAGTATCTTAGAGGGTCAATTTCTAAAAGTCCTCACAGAATCCTACTAAACTATTTGTGAGTCGAATATGTTAAATAATGTCTACTCTTTAAAACGTCTTGAGACCATAAAAATGTCAAAATAGATCTAAGAAATCTAGTATTTCAATATGCTATCAAATATGCATAAGTTATTTTATTGTGAACATTACCACTGCACTTTTTTGTCATTTACTTTAACCATGATACATTTAATGAAAGCCTAAATTTTGTCATTAAATTACTATATTAAACAGTGAGTGAATCATAAAAATTATCAGACTACATGTGCAAGAATGGAATGATGTAAACTTACTTAAAATTTGACGTGAAGATGTCAACCTTTCATATTACCTAATGAGATATTTTAATTTTCCCACATTTTAGTGAATTCCCTAAGCAACTTTTAAAAGCTGAAAAATGAGAAGGCTACAAGAAACCACCAAACTCTTCTGTAAGAAGCAAGTGAAGAATTGAAATGATGATAAAACACTTATTAACTGGTATGATACATATCAGAAAATACTTTCAGCTCCTATTCGTTTAATGATAGACCTACCCAGTATTTAAACAGAAGTCTTCTTTGTGCACAGCCAGGCAGATGACTTCATTGATATTAATGGTGCCATTAGGTGTGGTAGACTTATCATTTTCATAGTAACTCAAGAAGCCTCCTTCTAGAACACACCACTTTTTATTTGTCTCTAGGAATTTAAAACAAAACAAGTAATAAATTGAGCTATACCATAAATCAAAATTTAAAATATATGGTCTTAAATAACTGGATTCAAATAAATGTATGTGTTAGTTTCCTATTTTGTATAAAGAGCATGATACTGCTGCATGGGATATAAAACTGTCATACTTAATGCTCTCAAAAAATTTACAGCCTAGTAGCCAGGGATGTGAAAGACAAAAATAACTGTGACACTGATGACCAGAGAAACAGGCAGATCGATAAAGAGACCACTGCAAAAAGATGCTGAAACAGTAAAGACTGATGTCTATACAGAGCATTAGGAAGGGAAAATGTAGGGTAAAAAGTTTCACTGTGGCTGATGTTGGGTAAGTGTGCAAAAAATAAATGTCCTTAATGTCCTGTTTAGTAGTAGTGTAGTAGCTCAGCTGTGTCCAACTCTGCGACCCCATGGACTGCAGCCTGCCAGGCGCCTCTATTCACGGGATTTCTCAGGCAAGAATACTGGAGTGAGCAGCCATTCCTTTCTCCAGGGGATCTTCCCTACACTGGGATTGAACCCAGGTCTCCAGCACTGCTGGAGAAGACGATGGCACCCCACTTCAGTACTCTTGCCTGGAAAATCCCATGGACGGAGGAGCCGGGAAGGCTGCAGTCCATGGGGTTGCAAAGAGTTGGACATGACAATCCCAGGGATGGGGGAGCCTGGTGGGCTGCTGTCTATGGGGTCGCACAGAGTCGGACACGATGGAAGCGACTTAGCGGCAGCAGCAGTTCCAGCATTGCAGGCAGATTCTTTACCAACTGAACCACCAGGGAAGGCCTAATGCTCTGTTTGAATGAAGTCGTTCAGTCGTGTCTAATTCTTTGCGACCCCATGGACTGTAGCCTACCAGGCTCCTCTGTCCATGGGATTTTCCAGGCAAAAGTACTGGAGCAGGTTGCCATTTCCTTCTCCAGGAGATCTTCCCGACCCAGGGATCGAACCCAGGTCTCCCACATTGTGGGCAGAGGCTTTACCCTCTGAGCCACCAGGGAAATAAATGCTCTGTTTAGAGGATTTGAAATTCATCTTTTAAGAGTTCAGCACACTATGGCCTGCAGGCAAAATCCAGATCAACACCTGTTTTGTAAACAAAAAGTTTTACTGAGAAAGGGCCACAACCCATTCATTTGTGGATTGCCTGGGGCAGCTTTCTTGCAACAAGGGCAGAGACTATCTGACCTGCAGAGCTTGAAACATTTACTATCAGGCCCTTTTCAGAAACGTTTGCTAAGCTTTGCTTTTAGAGTTGATGGTAAGCCACTTAAATGGTTTCATCAGAAGGAAATGGCAGATTTAAATTTTGCACACTTGCTTTCTGTGCAACATGGATGTGAGAAGGTGAAGCTGAAGGCAGAAGACCTGCTGGGACTCTGCCAAAAGTGAAAGATGAAGACCATCTGAGGGCGGTAGTACCACAGCGATAGGAGGATAATGGGTGGGTAATGGGGCGATGGGATGATAGGAAAGGATGGGGACAGGAGAGACAGGGAGGAGGGGAGAGAGCAATGCATACATGCACTTGTGTATTCTAAAGGGATAAAACATTTATTGATGGGACACAGGGAGTAAGAGAGTACTTATTAATGGTTATTAATCATTTTTAGCTTTGATTACAAGGTGGGCAGAAATGCCTATTTTTACCTAAAAGGAAATAAAGTAGAAATGGTTTTAGTGCATGTAATCTCAATTTCCTTGGACATGCACTACATGAAAGATATCTCCTAGAAATTCAAACAAGAATACCTATTAGGCAGATCACCCTGTGGATTTGAATCTTCAGGGCAAGGAACAGCCTCAATAACCAGAAAGTCTTTAGACTACAGGTAGTAGTTGAAAATGCACAGTAACCAAGGATAAAATCTGAAGGAACTGAGGGAACAATGGGTATAGAAGGGTTCATGAAGGCAGTGAAACAAATGAGAAGAGAGAGTGCATAAACAGAAAAGGGCTGAGCATTTCAGAAGCGAATGACTACCAACACTAAATATAGAAAGAGATTCAATAAAATAAGGGCTGAAAATATCAGCTGGTCTTACAATAAGAAGGTAACTTCAGTTCAGTCACTCAGTCACGTCTGACTCTTTGCGACCCCATGAACCACAGCACACCAGGCCTCCCTGTCCATCACCAACTCCCGGAGTCCACTCAAACCCATGTCCATTGAGTTCATGGGGTTCTCAAGGCAAGAACACTGAAGTGGTTTGCCATTCCCTTCTCCAGTAACTGCCTGTCCTTTAACTGAGAATTCTGTCTCTCTCATCCTCATCTGAGGTGGGCCCTTCAGAGACCAGACCCATTCTGAAAGGGAAGCTACCCTCAGACTGAAGTGGTAAGGAAAAGCTTCACACAAATTATGGCTTTTGAACTGGGCATTTATATGGAAAAGGTGTTTTTCTAAAGTAGCAAAAAGTGAACACTGAGCTCCCAGTCATTCCATAATTCTGAGAAAGAACTGTGAGGAAAGTCATGGGAGGGGAAACTGTCAAAAACCTATTTGGCCAAAGAAAGAGATTACATCTGAAATTAGGACTTGGGAAACAAGACTGCAGGCTCACGGCAGCGGCCAGGCCCCAGGAGTCTTACATGACAGGTATTCCGGAGTTTGCACCTTTCTCAGTAGACAAGTGGGAGACATCGGACGGTCTTAAACAAGTGTCAAATGCATGATCCACAAAGTAAATGTAAATGCAGAACCTAATTATGCTAATTCTAATGGGAAACAAATGACAGACCTCTTGAAAAAGGTGAGTACAAACTCATTTTAAGTTAGAAATATGGGCTTGAGGAGATTTAACCTTGTAGCATCATCACCATAATCCTTGATCAACTTCATTTTTTTAAGTGAAAATAGGCCAGAGGTCAGACAAAGCAGGCATAGATATTACCTCTGAGGATTTATAACAACAAAGCCGTGATAGGAAATTTTGACATTTCTATTCATCTGGGAAGCAATCAGAAAGCTTTAGCAAAACTACACTGGATGGCATGGGTCTGCTTGAGCTAATTCAGACAGGACACCCTCTCTGCCACAGAACAAGTTTTACTGCTTAATCAGTTACCAGAAGATGTCTACTAGAAGCAAGACTGGGGCCACAGAATGGACAACTCTCAGGACACAAGGTGTTTATAAGACCAGAGGTCCTGTTTATTATGGTGGTTGGATCAGCTGGAGGGGTTGTTCTTTCCTTCTATTCAAACCTGACATTTAGATCAGGGCAGAAAAACAGTGCAATTTACTTATGCACAGATAAAGAACTCCAGAGGTGACCTACTGAAATATTCCGATGAAGTGATATGGTTACTAGAGTATGGTTAACTTGATTGTTAGCTTACCACCAGTAGGATATTCCTAAACTCAAAGGCTAACTGGAAACCAGAAGCAAGTTGTGTATATGGATACCTGTGTATCTCTGCTACCATTCTTCCCTGTCCTCATCCTCTCAGCATCATATGTATGTGTCATATGTTCTCCTGTGCATCTTATATGCATTAACTCGTAGAATCCTCAGAACAATCCTATTAGGTCAGTTCTATGATTATGTGCTCCTTTCCTTTTACCCTGTTCATGGGTACAAGATGGTTGATGGACTTTACCAACATCACATAAGTACTCAGCATCAGAGCTGGGAGTAAAACCCAAGCAGTCAACTAGGGAAGGTATCCTTCTATCTACTTCACAACCTCCCTGTCCGTGCCTGATACACGCTTGAAGCATGTATGTCCATTGTTTAAATGTGCCAGGGTACAGCAGAGGTCATGGCTTCAAATATATATGTGCACAATAAATGAGAGAGAGTTCAGGTGAAACTATTATTTTTTTAAACCATAAAGTTGTTTCCTGATGAAGAATTTCCCAAACTGATGGCATTCAGCATCCACAGAAAATAGAAATATTCACTAGGACTCCTTTCATTTAAAATAAATGTTTCAGCCTTGAAGAAACATTTTTAAACTATGCAAGCTAGGCATTTATGGAACAAAGGATCTTCAAAATTCCTCAATACTAACTCATAAAATTAAATAGAAACAAATAATACAGAGTTTCTAGTAAACTGTATCAACCACTTTCTTTTTAAAACTCAAACACTGTCAACAAAGCAAGGTAAGATACCAAGGGAAAATAATACAGTTGAGGGGAGAAAACAGAAAACAAAATCAGGATGCTATTATTCAGCTCTGCACTTAGGTTTAACAAGAGCTATCAATCTTTCCTTTCATGAACACTAAATTGGGGAGAAAAAGAAAAATACAGATCAGTCTTCATAACCAGAGGCTAGAAGAACTTCAAATCCTGAAAATCTGAACTGACAATTTGAAGCCTCTGTAACTCTCTGAAGGACTTGCATGCATTTTATTCCTCGACTTTTTTCTTTGTTTTTAATCAGTCTGCTCTGTGGCCATCCTGACAAGCCCTGATGGAGTGATTCAGTCCAGATGCTTGCTGTTCCGAGGCAAAGGTGACGACCACACTTTAATCTCTAAATCTTTCCAAATAATTCAATTTTTCCATAAAGCTGGTGCTCAACAGGAGTACCACTGCTGCAGAATCTTGATGGAAAGAGAAAAAAAAAAAAAAACCACCCAAACTCTCTGTTTCTTGTTAATTCAACTTTTTCTTCTATGTTTTTAAGTAGGCTCTTCCCAAACAAAATGTGTTTTGTGTCAGCACTTATCTATTTTTATATGCAGGTGAAAAAATAGTAACTAATAATTATAAATAGAGTTTAATCTTTAAAAATTGTGAATTGCTATATCATACACCCGTAAACCTTAAACAATACCATATAGAAACTATACTTCGATAAAAATTTTATTATGTATATATAAAGTCATCTGTGCTTTTACACTGGCAGTAATGTGGTTAGAGCAATGCCCATTTATTCGACAAATATTTGCACATGACTAGTTATGTGTGGACACTGTATTAGGCACCAGAGATTTGATGATGCTGAATAAACCAGAGAATGCTGAGGCCTCAACGAGCTTTCACTCCAGAAGGAGGGAGAAACAGATGACACAAGGATCCAGTTCATGCAACGAGAGCCACAGTGGAAGCGAGCAGCACGCTATGAGCTAGAAGAATCAGCAGTGGGCCCACACGTTAGGAGGCTGCCACGGCGGTCTCCCCGACCACGTGGCCCTACAGTGACCCCCTAGAGGCGAGAGGCAGCCAGGCTGAGGAAAGTGTGCTCCTTGCAAAGTGAACAGCAACTGCGAAGGTTCGGAGCGGGCATGTTGCAGGAACAGACAGGAAACCAGTGTGGCCAGGAAGGTAGGACAGGAAGGAAGGATATAAGATGAAGAGGGGAAAGCAGGAGAAGGTCTTTTAGGTCAGATAAGGAAAAGGGTTATATCCTGTCATGGGAAGCCACTAACTGTACTTGAACAATGGAAATGCATAGTCTGATCTACATTCTCAACAATCACTATGTCTGTTTGGGGGAATGGTCTGGAGGGAAGCCGGGGAAGATGTTAACCGGTAAACAGATATGGGCTGGGATAGAGGGTATCACAGCCCAGGCAGGACAAGATGGTGACTAAGGTTCAGATGCAGTTAGTGAAGATGGACAGCAGCCAACTGATTCATGGTCTATTCTGAGTTAAAATGACAGACCTTGTTCATATATTGGATGGAAGAAATGAAGACTATCAAAGAATACCTTGCTGTTAGATTATTAGATTGTTATCCAATGAAATCATTTCTGTGTGCTCCATCGTCAAAGTATATATCACTTAAAACAGAATGCTCCAAAATGAGAAAACATCCCTAATTAAATTACGAATATGGAGAATGCACTGGTTTCTGTTTTTTGAAGTAAATTTCAACAACAAAATCCATTAGTTAACTTATCTTTTATAAAAGGAAAAACTGATTTAGTTGCAAATTTGAAATACCAATTCAGTTCTCAAGTGACTAAGAAAAGCAATATATTTCAAGAAAACAGTAAAACAAATTGATAAGTTTATAAATATTATAACCAGAATTGTCAAAAAATAACTAAAAGCTTATTTTTAGCCTGCGGAATACTTATAATATATTGAGAAGCTTTAGGAAGAAAAGCTTGTATTTCAGATTTCCTTCCTATTTCATCTTTGTATAAGTGGTTAGAAGGGTAGATTAATATATCCTGCAATTTAGAAGAAACATTCTAGAAAACTTGTACACTTCTTAACAAGTACACTAATTGCCCTGTTACTCAATTATTTTAATAATTGCTATCATCATTTCACAGATTGTTCTGGTACTTCTTCCCTCTTGATCACTCACCATTCAACTATATAAGTATTAAATACTGATAAGGAGCAATGGGAAGATGAGAAAATCTCTAAAATTCATCATTTATTATTGGTTACATTGAGAAAAGACAGACATGAAAATAAATTTGCTGAAAGAACAAAAAAAAGCAAAACCCTAAACTCAAAGAATAAAGATGCTCTGCCACCTCGTGTCAGCTGGTCATCACCCTGACCAAAGCCAAAGTCATACAGTAACAATTGTAACACAAATCAAATACAAGACTCTGCTTCATGCTGAGTTCCTCCACTGTTCATGTGAAACCAGCATAGTATCAACTATCCTGCAGAGCTTTTATGAGAATTACAATGAAAACATAGAAAAAGCCTAAAGCAATGCCTTACACATACATGCTCACTAAAAGCGAGCTACTGTTTATAGGTTTTTGTTGTTGTTTAGATACTAAGTTCTGTCTGACTCTTTGTGACTCCATGGACTGTGGCCCGCCAGAGTCCTCCATCCACGGGATTTCTCAGGAAAGAATCTGGAGTGGGTTGCCATTTCCTTCTCCAGCGAATCTTCCCAACTCAGGGATCGAACCCATGTCTACTACATTGGTAGGCAGATTCTTTACTACTGAGCCACTAGGAAAGGCCAAAAAACTAATAAAGTATAGTTTATCCCAGGATAATTCTGCTAAAGGTTATAATTTTCTTTTTTTGACAAATAAAGCCTGTAATTGAAATAATCTCTTCAAATGTATGAAGATCAGGATTAACACTTTAAAGTGAGTTTTTCATCCTATTATTCCTCTGATCAAGTAATATGGTTGGATTTTACCACCAGGGAATTAATACCTGTCCTCCAAGTCTCTGAAGTCCACCGATTGGCCGGCATAACTTAATCTCTCTTAAATTCTTTCTGTTCTAGTAAGACAAAGCGCATTATATTTTTCCTGCCTACACTTCTAATATTAGTTTGAATGTATATAACATTAGCCTGTGTCTTACTCGTTTTTGTTTTCCTAATGCCCAGCACAGGCCTGACACAAGGAGTGAAATGGATAGATTCCACCTACTATGATTCTGCTAAGACCAATGCCACAAACCTACAACAGGTTGTTAAATCAATTAACTCACATCATTTCTTGGAAACCATGCGTAAGCTTTATTTTACTTACACAGACACACACAATTACAATCAGAACAAACTCAACTACTTGAGACCACTTAGTATGCTGACAGAATATAAACCAAAGACTTGTCCGTTCTTCCTACATGTTGACATCTATCTATATTATCTCCCCAGCTGGGGGGTCTGTCCCAGAGGGAAGGGGCTGAGTTTCACATTTCTTTGGAATAACTCTTAAATCCTGAAGCAGAATTGGTTGTCTCTGAGGTAGATGTCAGAGAATTCTGCTGAGAATTCACTCAGCATTCTGAACCAGTAGTAAATCTTTGCTGCAGTGCATGAAATAATATCTGTGCCTGGAAGCATTTATAAATCCTCAAAAAAATAAATATTTCTCTACTGCGAGATCAAATCTAACATCTCACGGGGAAAAATATCAAAACTTAAACCTAATTGTTTTGATAATGAAATAAAATTTTATCATGACAAAATCTAAAAGGAGCAGAAAAGATACCTTCAAGCAGTTTTTTTTCTGAAGAGAGTTTAGAAGCACCAGCAGGAGCCTGATACAAAAAGTCACAGAGGAACGTAGACTGGGAGGACTCTTGATTTAATCCACCTTCAGAATACGTGTCATGTTGAGGGAAATCTAGAAAAATTACAGAAATACCACATCTGAAATCTGAAATGTAAACAATTTTCCCTTGGCTTATGAATATGTTGGTGAGTTCTGAGGTAGAAGAAAAACTACTTCAAATATACTGCAGAATAAAGATACAGAAACATTTATTTTGCTTTGCATAAAATTTGCACTTTGGTTGTGTTTATTATTCATACATGAAAACTGAATTTAATTTTAGTGAAAATGATTACATGGGATTAACTATTTTAATCTTCCATTTAGATGATTAAAGGCACATAAAAGATTGATTTCCTAAACTTTTCCTTGAAAGGAAATAAAACATGGGTCTTAAGAAGCATTTTCCGTCTTTCTGATAATTACATTTTCTTTTCATCCTAATAGTGTTTCTGATTTGAGAAATTTACAGATTTGAGCTTCAGTCCTTTTAAGGATCTATCAGGAGAGACCAGGTTAGTGGAGGCATGAGAGGGCCTAACCTGAGAATTTGTTGTGGTAGAGAAATTCCATCTGCAGACTCTGCCCTGCCTTCTTGGCCAGCAGATAGGGGGTGCTGTGCTCAGGATCACCTGTCGCGCACATGACATCTGCTCCACTGAACAGCAAAGCCATTGTTTCCAGAACATCTGGTTTCACCACAGCGGCACACAGAGCCTGGTCGATAAAAGAAAATACAGCTTCTAAGTGAAGAAAATTCTAGCAATTAAAATGCAAGAAAGTCTGCCAGTTCGTTTATGAGCTAAAGTTTATATTTCTTAATAATTAATTACCTGAACTAACCAACAGGTAACAAAGGCCTGGTTTACACGAATTTAAATTTCAACAGAAGATTACCAAGTGTCTATTCATTGTTTTGCTGTGGTGATGTTCCAAATCTTCAAATCCATTAGATCTCCCATGGAAGATATTTTCTGTATTTTACATACTATGATAATGGCAATGCTCAGAAACTTCAATATACTTCAAATGCAGTAATAAAGTATCCACTAAATATTTTGTTTGCATGAATGTTTCTGCATGCATGCTAAGTTGCTTCAGTCATGTCCAATTCTTTGCAACCCCATGGACTGTAGCCCACCAGGCTCCTCTGTCCATGGGATTTGCCAGGCAAGAGGACTGGAGTGGGTTGCCAGGCCTTCCTCCAGGGGATCTTCCCAACCCAGGGATCAAACCCATGTCTCCTGCAGCACTTGTTTTGCAGGTGGATTCTTTACTGCTGAACGACCAGGGAAGACATCAGTCTTGGCAATGATTTTTTGGATATGATATCAAAAGCACAAGTATAAAAAGCAAAAATCAATTAAGTGGAATTATAGCAAACTAAAAAACTTCTGCATAGCAAATCAACCAACAAAATGAAAAGGTAAAACCCACAGCACAAGGGAAGATACATTCAAACCACATACTGCATAAGGGTTAGCAACCAGAATATACAGATAACACATGCAACTCAAATAGAAAGAGACAATCCAATTTAAAAAATGGATAGAGGACCTAAATATACAGTTTTCCGATGAAGACACCCACAGAGCCAATTTTTAAGCAGTATCTCCTCAATAAAGTAATTTTTAAAAATTATTTGCTGATGTTAAGAGTACCATTTTTAAGAAGCCCAATGTGGTAGTAAATCCTAACAGACATCCCTACATATCTTGAAGAAGAAAGAAACAGCTAGTAATTAAAACCAAGCTTATCTAATATCTTAGCTCAAGGTATCTATATGGTGTGGCAGAAAAACCCTCCTTTGGGGTCATTAGTATTTACCCTCTGACAAGATTCCTGTCATTATCAAAAAGAGAGAATCCACTGGGGGGAAATTATGCCCTAGTTCTCCAATCTTGCCAGTTACTTCCCCAAATCCACAACTTATTATTTATGTACTTATTTTTTATGGGCCTCTGGTGCATAGAACTAGATTAATTATAACCCTTGGTTATACCCTGTTATCATTATTTCATGCATGTCTTGTATAAATGGGTCCATTATTTTCATAGCAATTAGCATCATGAAAATATCACCCTGAACAAAACTAAATGACTTAGTAATAACCTATATATGATTGCCTACCTCTGTCCCATCTCTCTGACTCTCCCCTACCTTAAGTATAGATTCTGCATCCTGCATTTATTGTACATCATTGCTTCAAAATCCATTGGTGGGCTCACTTTACTAATACCAAAGATGTATAAAGAAGCAAGAACCTAATTTATGGGAACTAAACCAACAGAAGAGAAATATAAAACAACTGTATGAATATTATCATTTCTAGAGAAGAATTGAAAAGGTCTTCATTTTCCAAATTTTTCAGCATAATGCTATGTAGTTGGGGATGCTTATCCAATAAGCATTGACACTGAATTGCATTCTAAAGAACTGAGAACCAAGAAAGCATACCCTAGGCATATAAAAGTATATGTTTTAAGTATCTATACATAGAAGAAACTTCTGACACACAAGAAATTGAAGCAGTTGATTTTTTTTTTTTAAAAAGGAGGGCAAGATGTTAAACAAATTCTTTGCTAAAAGGGCAATATAGAATGGTCACAAGACGACCCAGAATCACTCAGCAAAGGCCACTTGCAATCAATGGCACTGAACAGACCACTGTCAGTAACAATAAACTAACAAATGAAGTCCATTTTGCTGACACCAAGTCAGCAGTGCACAGCTGAAGTTACCATGTTCAGTATCCTGTCCTTAATATGGGGAAAGTTATTCAATCTTTAATTGGGGTGGGTGTACATCAGATAGAAACTTCAGTGAAGGAGAAAAAGTTTACTTGCCCTTGATAACGAATCCTCAAGTGAAATGAAGGTAAAAGATCTAAGGTGCAATGTTACAAAAGGAAATAAAATTAAACAATAATTTTATGAAACAGCAAACTATTTTTTTAACTTTTTTTCAAAACCCTTGGCACAGGCTTTAAAAGACCTTAACATCCATGTCTTTTGTTACATTTCATTGGTTACCTTATTTAATTCTTCCTTGGTAAGAGACGCCAAAAGGGTTTTTCTGAATCTTCCTTCTTTGTACTTCTGAGTGATAAAATTTTTTCTCTTTTCTACTGAAGAGTCCATGTGTAATTCTTCATCTTTTTGAAGATTACCAGCCCAAAAGTCATTAGCTCTTTTGTTTCCAATGACAATAAAAAGCTGAATTATCAAAGAATTACAAAACGTATCAATTCAAACAATATCTTTGAATCTGCAGAAAACTGAGTCACGTGACAAATTAAAGCACAGCTTAGTGTAGAATATGCAAAAATACAAAAAAGACCCAATTTTTTCTGGAAGACGGAGTGTGAAAGCAGACAATATTTCTATTTAAACAGCCTAGCTGCTCTTAATAATGGTAAAAGAGTAACTAGAAAAGAAACTGCAAGCAACACGAATTGCAGCAAAAGCATTATTACTTTTTGAAGCTAGCTCACATTGAGACAGATTCATTTAAAATGGTGAGTAGGTGGGCTAATATGGTTGAGAGTGTTACTGACACCCAAGCACAGAATAGATGCGGGAGACAGCAAGTTAGACAAGATTGCAGTTAATGACAGAGTGTGGCCGAGATAAGAATAGTCAATTTTGCCAAATGTTTTCATTCACCATTCTGATATTTTATCCATGCTGGGTTAAAAAGAAAGAGAGTAAGTTCTGGCTTTAAAAAGAGCTACCAAGCCTTTTAAAGTAGTTATTACCACTAAAGCTCCTTGCATTTTTTATTTTTATTTTTAAAATAACCACCTCATTTAGGAAACATTCTGAAAGTTAAGGTAGAAAGTTACCACTAGACAACAGGCGATAAGTCATTTTTTATACTGTGCCGAGATCTTGATCAGAGAGATCCTAAAGTAACCTCATCCCGCCAACAAATGCACATTTCCTCCCAGATTCTGGCTGATCACACCACAGTCAAGTCAGACTCACCTCAATGAGCTCATTGCTCCAAATGCTGGCATCCATTTTCAGACTTCTAACCTTGGAATCTTTTGGTCCTAAAGATCTATGTTGCCCTGTAGACCAAAAAAAAATAATCCTCTTTGAATTTCTATGTACATGTATTTTACCATAAAAAGTATGTATGTATATATACATGGCAATCTGTATTAACATTAAAACACATGGACATCACCAGATGGTCAACACCAAAATCAGATTGATTATATTCTTTGCAACCAAAGATAGAGAAGCAAAAACAAGACCTGGAACTGACTATGGCTCAGATCATCCACTACTTATTGCAAAATTCAGACTTAAATTGAAGAAAGTGGGGAAAACCACAAGACCATTCAGGTATAAATCAAATCCCTTTTGATTACACAGTGGAGATAAAGAATAGATTCAAGGGATTAGATCTGGTAGACAGAGTGCCTGAAGAATTATAGACTGAGGTTTGTAACACTGTACAGAAGCCAACGACCAAAACCTGCCAAAGAGAAATGCAAGAAGGCCAAGTGGTTTTCTGAGGAGGCTTTACAATAGCAGAGAAAAGAATAGAAGCTAAAGGCAAGGGAGAAACAGAAAGATATACCCCACTGAATGGAGGGTTCCAGAAAATAAGGAGGAGAGACTAGTAGAAAGCCTTCTTAAAGGAACAATACAAAGAAATAGAGGAAAACAACAAAATGGGAAAGACTACAAATCTCAAGAAAATTGGAGACATCAAGGGAACATTTCATGAAAGAATGGACACGATAAAAGACAGAAACAGTAAGGATCTAACAGAAAGCAGAGAGATTAAGAAGAGGTGGCAAGAATACAGAGAAGAGCTATATACAAAAAAAGGTCTTAATAACCCAGATAACCACGATGGTATGGTCACTCACCTAGAGCCAGACATCCTGGAGTTTGAAGTCAAGTGAGCCTTAGGAAGCATTACTATGAACAAAGCTATTGGAGGTGATTGAATTTCAGCTAAACTACTTAAAATCCTAAAAGATGATGCTGTTAAAATGCTGCACTCACTATGCCAGAACATCAGTAGTGGCCACAACTGGAAAAGTCAGTTTTCATTCCAATTCCAAAGAAGAGAAGTGTCAAAGAATGTTCAAACTACCATACAGTTGTGCTCATTTCACATGCTAGTAAGGTTATGCTCAAAATCCTTCAAGCTAGGCTTCAGCAATACATGAACCAAGAACTTCCAGATAACAACCTGGATTCAGAAAAGGCAGAGGAGCCAGAGATCAAACTATGAATATTCACTGAATCATAAAGAAAGCAAGGGAATTCCAGAAAAACATGTACTTCTGCTTCAAGGAATACACTAAAGCCTTTGACTGTGTCAATCACAACAAACTGTGGAAAATTCTTCAACACATGGGAATACCAGATCACATTACCTGCCTTCTGAGAAACCTGTATACAGGTCAAGCAGCAACAGTTAGAATCGGACATGGAACAATGGACTGGTTCCAAATTGGGAAAGGAGTATGTCAAGGCTGCATATTGTCACCCTGCTTATTTAACTTATATGCAGAGTACATCATGTGAAATGCCAAGCTGGATGAAGCTCAAGGTGAAATCAAGATTGCCAGGAGAAATATCAGTAACTTCAGATACGCAGATGATACCACCCTAGTGGCAGAAAGTGAAGAGGAACTAAAGAGCTTCTTGATGAAGGTGAAAGAGGAGAGTGAAAAAGATGGCTTAAAACTGAGCATTCAGAAAACTAAGATCATGGCATCCAATCCCATCACTTCATGGCAAACAGATGTGAAAAAAATGGGAACAGTGAGAGACTTTATTTTCTTCGGCTTCAAATCACTGCAGATGGTGACTGCAGCCATGAAGACACTTGCTCCTTGGAAGAAAAACTATGGCAAACCTAGACAGTGTATTAAAAACCAAGATATCACTTTGCCAACAAAGGTCCATACAGTCAAAGCTATGGTTTTTCCAGTAGTCATGTATGGATGTTGAGAGTCTGACCAAAAAGAAGGCTAAGCACCAGAGAACTGATGCTTTTGAGTTATGCTGCTGGAGAAGACTCAGGAGTCCCTTGGACAGGAAGGAGAATCAAACCAGTCAATCCTAAAGGAAATCAATGCTGTATGGTCACTGAAAGGACTGATGCTGAAGCTGAAGCTACAATACTCTGGCCCGGTGATGTGAAGAGCTGACTCACTGGGAAATACTGTGATGCTGGGAAAGAATGAAAGCAAGAAGAAGGGGGCAACAGAGGATAAGATGGTTGGATAGCATCACCAACTTAATGGACATGAATTTGAGCAAACTCCAGGATATAGTAAAGGACAGGGAACCCTGAAGTGCTGCCATCCATGGGGTCACAAAAATTTGGACACAATTTGGCAACAGAACAACAACAATAAATATATGTATGGCTGCATTAATATCTCTTTTCAACTTAAACTATTACCTACTTTTTTATACCACAGTAGTGGTAGTAATCAAACAGAATCATAACCAACAATAAGAAAGATTATGGAAGTCACCTGCTCAGTCATGTCCAACTCTTAGTGACCCACGGACTATAGCCCACCAAGCTCCTTTGTCCATGGGGATTCTCCAGGCAAGAATACTGGAGTGGGTTGCCATGCTCTTCTCAAGGGTATCTTCCCAACCTAGAGATCACACCCAAGTTTCCCCACTGCAGGTGAATTCTTTACCATCTGAGCCACTGGGAAGCCCATGAATAATGGAGTGGGGAACCTATCCCTTTTCCAGGGGATCTTCCTGACCCTGGAATTGAACTGGGGTCTCCTGCATTGCAGGCAAGATTCTTTACCAGCCGAGCTACCAGGAAGCCCTTTAAAAGTATGTATTCATGTATTTGTGTTTATGTGTGTACATGTATGTATGTGTATACATATATAATTTTTTCATTGTTTGGTAACTGACTAGAAATTGTAAGTCACTGAAAACTCTTTATAATGGGTCTGTGTAAATTACATATATGTGAATACAGATATCATCCCTTACTCTTAAAAAAATGACTAGCAACATACTAGCTAATGAATGTATACTTAAGAAATCTAAAGTGGATTCTTTATTCTATGATTATACCTGGAAGACAGTAACAGCCCAGCATTCTAGTATCATCAATTGAATTCTGCTGTATAAATCATCATTCAGACTTTACTGGGCATCCAGGCCTATGTCAGACTCTTTCTAAGCTGAGAAGGAGAAAAGAACATAAAACATCATCTTTGGTCTTAAGGATCTTCTGCCCAATGATCATGAGAAAGTTCTTTCCTCTATGTACATTAGGTAGGTTCCTTTCCTCCCTTCTCTGAGAAAAAAATTACTCAGAGCACCATGCCCTAGAATTCCCATGATAACGCCTGGCATACGTTTGCACTTACAGAGACTACAAAAAGGCAACACCAAAAGGAGTAAAGCTCAAAGGCAGGCAGGAAGAAAGGATGCTGGAGTAGCCTAAGATTCTGAGTTGGGGCAGCTGGAAAAAGAAGTGAAGTGGAGAACAGATTTAGAGATACTTAGAAGGTAAAACCGGGATGGAATCTGGTGGGCTTTAAGGAAAGGGGAAGGGTCAAGAGGGACTCTCAGGTTTTAGGCTTGAGTGAAGGGCAGAGTGGATCACTTCTGATCAAGATTTGTAATATAGGAAAATATTCAGTTTTATGTAGTGAGCTGGGAAGCAACGAGAACTCCGTACCATCATGTTCATTTTGAGGTATCTTGAGCAAATCCAAGTGGAGACCCTAGCAGGAGATACAGGAGTATGGTTTCCAACAGAGTAAGAAACACCTGCTTAAAAAGACTATGGGATTTAAATTATAAATAACATCACTCAGGAATATCAGAATGAAAGAGATCTGAGGATACAACCCAAGGCAACACACACGTTTTAGGAGCAGGCAAAGGATGAGCAGGATAGCAAGAGCACACTAAGAGGAAACGGCCTGCTGGAAGTTGAGGAAGGACGGGGAGTCACCACTGAGAGGTAGACTGGTCAACAGTGTCAACTACTCCAGAGAGCGCAATGAAGATAGGAACTGACCACACGGAAGCCGAGAGGTAAAATACACTGGTAAATGTGGTGAAATGTTTGTATTGGAGGTGAGGTAGATGAAGACTGATTACAGGATGCTGATGATTGCCGAGAGAAATATCAATAACCTCAGATATGCAGATGACACCACCCTTATGGCACAAAGTGAGGAAGAACTAAAGAGTCTCTTGATGAAAACAAAAGAGGAGAGAGAAAAAGTTGGCTTAAAGCTCAACATTCAGAAAACTAAGATCATGGCATCCAGTCCCATCACTTCATGGCAAATAGATGGGGAAACAATGGAAACAGTGGCTGACTTTATTATTCTGGGCTCCAAAATCACTGTAGACGGTGACTGCAGCCATGAAATTAAAATATGCTTACTCCTTGGAAGGAAAGTTATGACCAGCCTAGACAGCATATTAAAAAGCAGAGACATTACTTTGTCAACAAAGGTCCATCTACTCAAGGCTATGGTTTTTCCAGTGGTCATGTTTGGATGTAAGAGTTGGACTATAAAGAAAGTTGAGCACTGAAAAATTGATGCTTTTGAACTGTAGTGTTGGAGAAGACTCTTGAGAGTCCCTTGGATTGCAAGGAGATCCAACCAGTCCATCCTGAAGGAGATCAGTCCTGGGTGTTCATTGGAAGGACTGATGTTGAAGCTGAAATTCCAATACTTTGGCCACCTGATGCGAAGAGCTGACTCATCTGAAAGGACCCTCATGCTGGGAAAGATTGAGGACAGTAGGAGAAGGAGACGACAGAGGATGAGATGGTTGGATGGCATCACTGAGTCGATGAACATGGGTTGGGGTGGACTCCGGGAGTTGGTGATGGACAGGGAGGCCTGGCGTGCTGTGGTTCATGGGGTTGCAAAGAGTCGGACGTGACTGAGCAACTGTACTGAACTGATAATATACTAGAAAGTTAAAGAAATGAAAACCTGCATAAACTATTACTCTTGAAAGTATCTTCTCTATGAAAGGAAAAAGGAACAGAGAATTATATCTAAGGGAATAGTAAGTTTTCAGAGATCTTGTGTTAACAGAACAGAATTATGCAAATTTATTTGCTGAATCAAATAAACCATAGTTGAATATGGCTGTCCCTCAGTATCTCAGAGGATTGATACCAGGACTCTCCACAGACACCAAAAAGCAAGTATGCTCAAGTCCCTTGTATAATATGGCCATAGTATCTGAATATAACTTATACACATTCTCTATTATATTCAATACTTTAAATCATCTCTAAATTACTTAAAATACACAATACAATATAAATGCTAAGTAACAATTGCAGGTACATGCAAATTCAAATTTTGCTTTTTGGAATTTTTTTCCAATTACTTTTGATCTGGAACCCATGACTGTCAAAGGCCTACTGTACTTAGAGAGTGAATAAGTGATGGGGTAAGGACTCAGAGAAGAGAGGAGAGAAAGGGAACATAAGAAGACAGAGCAGCCTTGGACAGACACTCTCTCTTCCAATGAGACTGGAAAGAAGAGGTTGGGAGAAAATGCAAAGTCAAGGAGGATTAACTGAGGCTTTTTGGTGGCTATTGACGTAGTTGATCAGCTTGTGAGGACTCCTACCTCAGAGCTCTGGAAGGCTCTGAAGGGTTTGAAGCAGCTGTCCTGTCTTTGCTCTGTTTGAGATAGAAGCTCTCCCTCTGCATTCTTTCAATGAAACCTGTGCTCAACGCTATTGCGATCCTAATCATACTCTATTAAAATGACTATATATTTTTGCAGGATATGTCATATCTTACAGATTTCTTTAACTCCCAGGACCAGCACAGTACCTGGTAGAGCTGAAGAGCTGAGGAAAGTTTAGGTTGTAGCTAATTTCTCCAAGACCTCCACAGTCACATACCTACGCTAGGGTCCATTCCCTTCACTCCCTTGGACAGTTGCCTTACCTCCCAAATACGAGATGTCAAATAGTCCATCAGGTTTAAGGTCACAAGGAGAAAACAAGTCACAACACTGGTTACTTTCATAAACTTCAATATGCCTGGAAAATGCTTCTATATAATAATTCTCATTATGAGAGAACAGATCTTGTGTAACAAGATTAGAAAGCAGAGCAGCCTTGAAATGTGAAAAATACGTCTTACAAAATATGATTTGGGAAAAGGGACAAGTCATACGAACAGTGAGTGTGTTCAGGGTGCGTTCTGAAACACATTCATCCCAAATCTGAAAATTTCAGTATTGTCTTTTAAAAATCCATACATGGTCCAGTAGGCACACACACACAAAAAATGATTACATGCTTTAAATCAATTTTTATCTCTAAGCCATGCATAAGAGAAGTATAGAATGATATTTCTCAATTTGATTTAAATGTAATCAGCTTTCTCGGCTTTTATTCTTCATAGCCATTAGCTGGGACACAGTATATGTGAGACTAAAGAGCATTCGGTGCCGATCTGCTACCAAACAGCGACGAGCGTAACTTATCACTAATTACCTGCACACTTCTTGCAGATGACAACACAGAGGTTGATGGAGGCCCAGTCGGGATCTGGGGCTTTGCAATCTGCGCAGCTCCTGTTGGACTCATTGTACCAAATCTTCTCGGCTACTTCATAATCAGAGAGAGTTTCTGCTATTGATTGCTGCACAGCGTCAATCCACTCCTGCTTCTCTTTTTCAGACTCGGCGGTAAAGCTGAAACAATGAATGTCTCTGCATTATTGATCTCCCTTGTAAAGGCCAATTAAGCAGGATGTTCAGTTTGTATATTCATTTCACTCACAAAGGAGACAGCGGCTGAAAAATATGCCTTCCAGGCCATTGCAGAGTCTTTTCTGTTAAAGACCATCTCATTGAGAAATCTATTTTTTTCCTTTGACTCTCCACGTTGCTTATGACTTCGTTTACCTATCTTGAGCCAAAATTAACATACACATTTTTCTGACCAGGATATAAAAATCACCTTGTTAGGTCAAAAGCTTAAAAGTGAGGCCATGTTTTCTAAGCAGTGGTTACATCATAATCAATGAGAGACTGGCAGAGTTTCAGGACTAAGTGGATTATTTTGCCAAGAAAATATGCCATAGTCTGAAAATAAGTTATCAAAAACACCCACCAGAAATTTGATTTTTTTTGTCTTAAAAATAGATTTTTTTTTAATTGGAAGAATGTGCAGATGGCTTTCAGAAACTGAGAAATCAAAAAAGTTTTAAGTGATTAGTATTCTAACAGAATGCTAACTCATTTTTAGCCTCATTCCTATTTATTCCAATTCTTAGTGCTTATGGAGTACCTGAGTGAAAGAATAAAACATTAAAACATCAGTTCACTCCTTCAAGAAATATTTCCAGAGTACTTATAATAAACCAGAAAATGTACTATACACAGTGCCCCAAACTCAGTCAATGACCCATAGAATGATGCTTCCCACTACAATTTTCTGTTCTGAAGATGAAAATGTTTTGAGATACAATGAACATAACAGAGGACTAATATATCCTACATAATCTATAGAGAAATTGAGTGGCCCCCATGGATTATATGTTTTTATCACTCCATGTTTCATTATCACTATAACATCTATAAATCCTTTAGTGGTTTCTTTCCTGCTTCTCTGTAGAGTCTGGTCAGAGCCCACACGGTACAATGGAAAATAGGTTGGTCCCTGTCCCTGGTTCCAGGTGTACAGTTTCTCAGATCCTTGGAATCCCGAGTGGCAAAAACCCTTTATGTGCTAATGGACAGCTTCTGACTGGAGGCTAGACAGCTTCAGCATGGGAACTGGTCAGCAGAAGACCAAGATGGGACTAGAGAGCTGGAACTTTCCTACCCCTTGACCTCTGGGAAGGGGAGAACTGCGGTGCTTGATCACGTTTGACTCTTTGCTACTGCAGCCCACCAGGCTCCTCCGTCCATGAAATTTCCCAGGCAAGAATACTGGAGCAGGTTGCTGCTTCCTACTCCAGGCGATCTTCCCAACTCAGGGATCAAACCTGCGTCTCCTGTATTGGCAGGTGAATTCTTTACCCCTGGTGCCCCCCGGGAAGCCCCTGGGAAGGTGAGACAGGCTGGTAATTGACTTAATCTTCAACGGCCCAGGGTTTCAGGGCTTCCCAGGTGGCACGAGTGGTAAAGAATCCAACTGCCAATGCAGGCGACACAGAACATGACGGTTCGAAGCCTGGGTTGGGAAGATCCCCTGGAGGAGGAAATGGCAACCCACATCAGTATTCTTGCCTGGAAAAGCCCATGGACTGAGCAGCCTGGTGAGCAGCAAGGAGTCAGACACGACTGAGCACGCACACACACCCTGGGTTTCACCCGTCTCGCCGATGAAATGAAACCTCCGTAAAATCCCCCAGACAACAGGGTTTGCAGAACTCCGAGGCTGATGAACACACGGAGGGGCCAGGAGGGTGCTGCATCCAGAGAGAGCTTGGGAGCTCCTACCAGAAACCCCCCTGAACCGTGCCCCCCAAAGCTCTCCCATTTGGCCATTCCTGAGCGGCGTTTTTTATCATAAGCTGGTAATACTCCTGGAACTCTTCTCCTGAGTTCTCTGAGACATTTCAGCAAATGATCAAATCTGGGGGAGAGAGGGTAATGGGCACCCCAATTTGAGCTCAGCTGGGCTGAGTGAGAGTAACCCGAGGACAGTCTTCCGGGACTGAGCCCTGAACCCCGTGGGTCTGAGTCTCCCTCCGGGAAGGTATAGGACACCCAGCTGGTGTATGGGGAGTTGGAGAATTGGTTGGTATGAGGACAAACGGTGCAAGTTTGACATAATATAAAGCATTTTAAGTAAAAACAGTTTAGACAATGTCTATATTTTCAGTTAAGGCTTGAATTTCCTTTATGAAAATAAAGCTTGTTATTCTTTTTCAAAATTCCAGCCAGTAGACATATTTTAACAGATAATATGGGTACTACATTTGGTATTAATAGCATTTTTGAAATCACAAAGTAATTAATTGCTAGACCTTCAAAATCCTGTGACGATTGCCTCTAACCCACATACTACTTTGTGGTATGTTGATTATTTGTGAGAAATTAATGTGGTTGAACTCAACAGATATGACTCATGCCCCTCTAAAGCAATGGAGTTACTATAGATTATTAACACATACTCAGAACATACATTAAGTTTTCTGTTTCACTGTCATAATAAAGTAATTAGTAGAGACCATAATACAAGATATATATCAAAATGCTAAGATATTTGATCAATAAGTGCTATGAGTCATTAAATTCGGCAGCAGTTTAAGCTGGAATTCCTTTTAGAAAATCACTGAACAACCGTAATTAGGGATTAATCTTAAAGGAGAGATTGTATTTGATTAGGCTAAAAAAAAAAGGCAAAATAACAATACAGCTTAAAGACAATGCTATATCTATTTTTATTTTATTCCCTCACAACAATTTTTCATATATTTGTGAATCAAAAATCATCAAGTCTTCTAAGAAAAAAGATATTATGAAAAGAAACTATTAAATCTCAAGAAATTAGTATCTTTGCAGGTTATATGATTAGTCCAGTCACTTCTGCAAGGTGTTTTTATGTACTGGCTAACAAATTACATGATCTGAAAAAATAAAAATGCAATTTTTTCTGTTTCAGGTACACAGCAAAGTGATTCATTTCATATATATGTTCATATTCTTTTCCATTATAGGGTTATTACAAAATATTGAATATAGTTCCCTGTGCTATACAGTAGGGGCTTATTGTTTACCCACTTTATATATAATGGTGTGTATATGCTAATCCCAAATTCATAATTTATTTCCCCTTTGGTGGGGATGTTTTCCCATAAGTCTTTTCTGTGAATCTATTTCTGTTTTGTAAATAAGATCATTTATATTTTTTTACAATTCTACATAGAAGAGATGCTTTATGGTATTTGTCTTTCTTGTATATACATATATACACACCATATCTTCTTTATCTATTCATCTGTTGATGGATATTTAGGTTGCTTCCATGTCTTGGCTATTCTAAATAACACTGCAGTGAACACTGGGGTGCATACATCTTTTTAAATTAGAGTTTTCTCTGAATATATGCCCAGGAGTAAGACTGTAGGATCATATGGTATCTCTATTTTTAGTTTTTTAAGGAACCCTCCATAATCTTTTCCATAGTGGCTGCATTAATTTATACATCCACCAAAAGTGTAGAAGAGTTCCCTTTTCTCCACACTCACTCCAACACGTTATTTGTAGCCTTCTTAATGATGTCCATTCTGCTTGGTGCAAGGTGGTACCTCATTGTAGTTTTGATGTGTATCTAATAATCAGTGCTACTGAGCATCTTTGGTGCGTATTGGTAAATTTTTACACACTGGCTAATAAATGACACAATATGAAAAAGTAAGAACGTAATTTTACTGTGCCTTATAAGAAGTCAAATCACGACTGGCAATGTAACAATGGGTCACCCAAGCTTTACTGTAATAGTGCAAACAATATTTAAATATAACTTACCTAAAACTCCTATAGGGAGTGATTATTTCAAAAGACTGTTTTACAGTTCGGTCCACTTGTTTTACATTTGCTACATTCATAGGGATTATGGTAATACCAAGTCCACTCTTAAAATCCTAGTTTGGGGAAAAACAAAAAATCATAAAGAAATGAAAATATGGATCTTGAAAATAAAATTCTATTCTCTAACATTTAATAAATCTCATTAAATTTTACTACAACATGTAAATATGGAATTAAGCAATTCATTAAAAATGGATTGAGTGGTTTTATTTCATAGACATGATATATAAAATATATATATCTTCTTTTATATACATGATATATATATATATATATACTTTAAATACATGATAACATGATAGCATTTGAAGCTTGACAGGCTACTAATAAAGCAAAGCTTTTTTTGCACATAGTACATAAGTTGACTAGGACACAGATCTTGAGCTACACATGGCTTGCTTTTAACAGTTAGGCACTTTTTCACCTTCAGCCATTTAGTAAAGGGAACTGACAGGAAACAAACCCTTCCCATTTTCTAGGTGGGGGAGTCAAATGACACTGTGAGGTTGGTACAATGACTATGTAGACAAGAAAAAGGGGAGACCACGACTCAAAGAGGCAGAGTAACATGGAGAGGAGAGGCTGTATGTGGTAGAAAAGGACAGAAACCCCGGCCGCCTGACGCCTGGCTCTCTCCGCTGTGTGGCATTACCTCTGCTCTGTCACACTACCGTCCTCATTTGCTCTCAAACAAAAGAATTACTTGCTTTACAATTTTATCTCATTTCTAAAATTTTATTAGTTTCTTCTTCCTTCAATTAGATTCTTAAAAAGCTCCTCAATGCTATTTTTGTATGCAAAATGCCATTTGTTCAACACCTGCAGCCACTAGGTTCAGCTTGTCCCACCAAAATTAGAGAGTGTTCAAAAAGGCACACAGTCTACCATCGAAAAGCATTAAAGTCTGCAATATATTATCTAGCCATAAGGGTTTTGGAATTTGATTTATCAAACCATCTCACACCTTAAAAATATAATTATCAAAAGATGAATTATCTCTGTCAATAGGTTCAGATTAAATGTGCTCTGAATTCCTAAATTAAATTATGACTAGGAAAAAGTATCCATACTAAAGATAACTACAAAAAATATTGGCCCACTTTCAGGAAGGACGCTTTCAGCAGAGACTGTGAACGAAACGCCTCAGGAGCTGCCTTCTCTTTGTCTCGCCTGTTGTTCAAGCTAAAAGTAAAAGTGCTATTTTCCTATCTCCCTTGCAGCTAGGCGGGGCCATATGTCATAGTTTTGGTCGATAAAATATAAGTGATTTCCAGCCTGGGGGGCAAGGGGGAGAGACAAATCTTGGAAGAAAAGACTTTTCACCCCTTTCCATCTTCTTGGGAAATAACAAAGCCATTTTAGAATGGAAGCATCCTTGAGATGAAAAGCCTGAGGACAAATTCTTGTACTGTAAGGATGTCAAAGTGAAGAAAAAAAAATGGGAAAATCTTGTTCCCTGATGGCCTCAGCAAGAGACTTGTTAAAACAAACAAGTCCCTAATCTATTTACGCTATCCTTCAGTTTTTTGTCATTAGAGACACTAATGCATTCCTGGCTGATAAAATAAGTGGAATAAAACAACAATGCAACAAATTTTCCACACTCATAAAGGGCTTCCATTCACAAACTGCAGAGAAGTTTTGCTTCATGTTTTTAAAAATGTACCCATTTTTAGTTAGAATGAGGAAATGACTCATTTGTAAACTGAATATGATTTTTTCTGATGAAAGAACAAATGGCTCCTTCTGTTGGGAGAAACAAACCAGGAATTGAATCACTAATGTAAAAGATGCAGGGACATGCTAGGTGTTGTGAAATACTTAGAAGAAGGTGACATACTTCCATTTTGTATTGTAAGCCCACCTAACAAAAATCAGCACTTAAATGATATATATGCAGGAGGGAAGCCAAACTTTCCCAACATGCTCCATTTTAATAAGCTCTAGCATAGTATGTTAGCACAGTTGTTAGTATCTAGCATACTATGTACACTCTCCCGCCGCATACCGGTGTGCCCACAGCCCTCACTGCTAGTTCTGGTATAGTATGCTAGAACTTATTTACTTAAAATAATTAACTTATAATTATTACGGAAAACAAATTCTCAATTATCCATACCAGTGTTCCTGCTGGATAATGCAAGTGTTGGACCAACTTTCAATGTTTAAGTGGTTGGAAACTCAAACTCTCTTTTATAAATGAGGAAATAAAGTGGGGCTAGCAAGGTAAGACACTTTAGAGAAACAGCTTTCTGATGACCCACATCAAAGGGGGGTACCTCTAGAAAAAAATAGACTGCATCTCCTCAAACAATCTTCCATGATGCAATTCTACCAATAGCTGGCTAACAGACTACTCTGATTATTATTCTCCGATGGGGGCCTGGCCTGCAGGTGCTGTGTTACTAAGGGCGGAAATATACACTCAGACCAACAGATGGTAAGACTGACAGCCCTGGATAGAAACTGATGAGACTCATCAAGGCTTCAGCCTAAAGAGATGGTGCCTCATTTCTACAAGCAAGTCATGAAATATCTACATATAAAGAGGCAATTTCTGTTAAAAAAAAATAAAATAAGTGAGGTTCAGCTCAAGACCCCAAATTTATCCCAAGCAAGGCAAAGATGATTTTTCAGCCTGGAAAGAAACTGTAACCCATTTATCAGCTGCCTGCCAAGGCCATATGGTTTTGAGTAATTAGAGTACCCACTGAACTCACCGGCACAAATGGTCTGTAAAATGTACAGCAGAATAACAGAATAAATGTCAGTGCTCTCGAGAGCTATTAAAATGAAATGACTGCATTTCTTATTAAAAAAATATTTGTGGTGACATTAAGCCATCTTGTCACATACCCTTTAGAACATATTTAGAATACATCTCATTCCTAGAGCCTCATCAAAATTACCTGTGTTGAACTCTCCCTCTCTCCACTCTGAGATTCTGATCCCAAGAATCAGAAGACAAAGCCTGATGATTTTCAGGTAAAAAACAAAACTACCACCTTATGATTTTCATATGTAACAAGTATTAAGAAACACTGAATTAGACAGCATAACCAGTTGTAGAATCTAAACAGTACAAGTCTACATCATCTAAATATCAGGACATAAACATTTCTCTAGGCCTTCAGCAGAGCAAAAAAAAAAAAAAAAAGCATGCAATCAGATTAAGAAAAAAGCACTTGAAGTTATTAAAACTACTGGTTAGAAATGGGATGGTTAGAATACAGTGACACATTGGATTGTCAAGAACCAATGTGTCCTGCATGCCAATCCTTTTGCTAATATCCAAAGGATGTAAAAGCACTGGTCTTCATTAAGCACACACACTCCATAATTGATTCAATACTTATTTGCTTAGTGCTCTGAAGCTTACAAACAGCTATGAACTCTGATTTGATTTTCCTAACAATTCTGTGAAGAACGGAAAGAAGATACAGCCATTTTTAAAATGAGAAAATATGTCCCGGGAAAACTGTGTTGAGTAGGTACCTCACGACAGCCAGAAATTATGCTAAGTGGTGGGCCTGCTCAAAAGCATAAGATGGGGTACTTGGGGAAGCTTACAGTCTAAGGAGAAATGAGACAGAATAAATGTGCAATAAAAGAATAATTCATGTCTGTAGGGTAAGCACTGAATCCAATTCAAAAAAGAGAGTGTTGAGTTCATCTTCTTCCCAAAGGAGGTGACACCTGACTAATCAAACAACAAAGTCCAGACCAGGCTGATCAAGTGTACCTTGCTTGCTTCAGCTCACTTGTCTGCAAATCAGGGCTACAATAGTACCTACTGCATCACTGTATGAGGATTAAATTAATGCATAAAAAGTGCTTAGATGAATGCCTGGTGCAGTAAGTGCTATCTAGTCCCAGTTAGCTATTATTATTACTGTTATATTATTCCTCTTGAATTTGAAACCAACTGAACATATTACCTATTAAAAAGTTAATTACAAGAAAATGCATGCTTAAAAATAACTATCAGGTGTATATAAATTTTAAAATATGGAATGAAATGTGAATGTTAAACTTTCACAAAAATTAAAAATAAATTACCCATTATCTACAATCTGATGGTCAGCACTATTCTCATTTTGAAATATAGGGCTGAGTCAGGAACATGCCAAACTTCAACCTTTAAAATCCTATACACTGTAGTGAAAAAACAATAACATAGAAGTTCCATAGGTAGAAATACATTGTTATGGAAAGCACAAAGCTAAAAACAGACTCTGGAGGAAGCTATATTTTACAGTTAATTTGCTGTCACACAATGTATGATCCCAAAGAGCGTGAATGGCCATGCTTGGCAGAACAGGTCTGATGGTGCAGGGGTAGTAATGACAGCATGAGAACCAGGAGTCAGAACAGGGCAGAATCCTGGCTGATCCATTTACTGGCTCTATGACGACTGGCAAGTTTCTTAATTTGTGCAGACCTCAATTTCCTCATTTACGAAAAGACAGTAGTATCTACCTTTTATAGCACTGCTATAAAAATTGAATGAAGAAATACGAGTTGAGAGTCTAATACATCCAGACAGTCCTCTCATTTGAAGGTTCTGAATACAGAATTTGTTTTCAATAAGAATACGGTGACTGGAAGTATTCACACCAATGATTCCATGTTCAACATTCAGGTTAGAATAAGTGACAAATGTTTACCAAGACAGAGAAATGGGTTATTTGTACAAATTTGTAGTAACAGAGCCTGGCTCGAGCTACCTTTTAAAACTACAAAGTGAAAGAGCAAAATAATGGTTTCATTCCTAAACAGAAAAATTAAAGAAGGGTTTATTAACCCCAAATTTTCTGAAATCTCAAACCTATTTTTGGAAATAAGGATGCCAGGTTTCCCTGCCAGGAATTTAAGAACTCAGTGCTTAGACATTTGTGGAAAACAGATGTGGCATTGTGTGACATTGGCACCAGGCTTCCGGGCAAACACCAGATGCAGAGTTTGGCCAGATACAAAACCCAGAGAATTTGAGGCCACCACCTCCATCCTGCTGCTGCTTTCTGCACCACGCAAGCCAGAGCCCTACGGTGTC